TTATACGTGTAATGCTAGAAAGCTGCGGAAACTTTCTCAGACACAGTTGCTTGGAAATTCTATTTGTAGCCACTGCAAACAAATAAGTAGACCTTCAACTCATTCATTCTCCCATATTCAAGTAGCAAAAAATGGCATCCCTAAATTTCTTGAATAAATGATCATTACAGCATCAGGTTTCTGTATGAAAGAAATTCTAAGAAATTGATGCCCCGTCAAAATGACAGGGGAAGTGATGAAATTGGAAGGCCGACAGACCAAGATACAGTCACTAAGTTCTCGACTTCAACATAAATTAGTTACACCACACACCAACCACAGAAGGAAAAAATGATATGCAAGTATAGTGTCTCCAACTAGTAATTTATCAAAAAAAAAAGTTATTTACAAAATACTACCCCCGATTAATTAATTACTGGATACAAACTCAAAAGAAAATTTACAACATGCAAATGGACAAGCTACACTCAACTAGATAGATCAGGTGACATTTGAGGACAAACAAAAAGACCAAGTGTGCCATCACACAACTAGATTATACTTATTGAGAGAACCATCAATATGGCAATCCAAAAAATGATGGTGTTCGTAGCCATAGAGAAGTCAACTGTTTTTAGTTCTGAAGCAAACATATCAATGTTTCTAGAGAACTGGAAACCGGGATATAAGTAGCTTGAGATGGAAACAATGGAGCCTCAAGCAGGGGTATTCTTTCAGCTTTTGCAGAATTGCATTGTGTTCCCAAAAGATTCTTTCCCTTTTTACTTTCTCTTCCTGGAACAATCTTTTTCCTTCAACCGAAAAAAGAATCTTTATTTAAAAAACATGTTCAGTAAAAAAAAATTAATTTCACTATATGAAAGTTTGAAATGTTTTAGACCTTTTGAGAAAGTTCTACACTTTTACCCCAAAACCACTCCTCGTAAAGCAACCCCAAAACCAATTCATAGAACCAAATCCCAACACTCACTAACCCCAAGAACAAAAGAAAAAGACAAACCAATTTTTTTTAAAATCTGAATGCCCTGTTGATCTAATACCGCGAAAAGGATTCAAGTTCAAGGACTTTGGTGTTCATGAAATATCTATCACAATTCTTCCGTACTTAGCCACTCAGGCATCAAGTCATTAAGAGACAGGAATTGTGGAAAAAGGGAAGATCTATGCGAAGTTTCTAAAATATAAAAGAGAAACAGGGACACAAGAAACGGAGGTATATTAGAGGTCTTCACAGCCAAGGTTGGAAATGTATTGCAGTATTTCAACTTATATAAAAATTTCCGATGGTGCTAGACATCATATTTGTAGATAGCAGGACAAACAAAAGGGATCAGGTAATTTGGTCAAGGTCTAACCTTACATTTTGAACCTCAAGAGGTTCTCTTATACAATGTTCTTTGTGACATGCATTAATTAATTTACACCTGGTATTTCGAGAAAAAATCAAAGAAATTTGATCATGATTGGTTGGCTGTACCCTAAAGAGGATTCTCCTTCCTTTTTCTGAGGCTCTACTTATTTGTGTTCATTCCAGGCATATTCAAATTGCAGATTTAGAGTCAATGCTCATAGTAGGTGTAGATGCAAAGAAAGAAAATGTTATCAATGCAGAAAGGCTCTTTACTTCAGTATCTATAATGATGAAAGAATAAAATAAGTCAACTATGAGATCTTAGGCACATTAAATATAGCAAGCATAGGTAAAAGACTAGAAGAGAATGGAAATAGGAAAATGCAATCTCTGACTTATCATTTATGAAACATAACACCGTTAAGAGTGTAGTATTATGATGAGATGAAAAAGAGAACAGGTTTTCAGTCTCACAACCTAAATAAAGTACTAAACAAGGCAAAACTGGTTTAAAGGAAAAACTGAAGGCTTGAACGACACACCAAATTGGCGCCAAAGGCATGAAACAGAGGCAGCACGGACCACATCAGCTGGATCATCCAAACGCATCAGAATGTTCAGAGACATGTCAGTTTCAAGCCATTGCACAAAATCAACATGCGTCTCCATACCAAAGCAAATTTAATCAAAAGTTCCAACCCCTGATTCATCACAAAATACATAATTCATGCAATCAGCAAAAATATTTGTATTGAAAAAGATAGTGAGGAAGTAAGTAAAATAGATAAAACTAAAGCCAGTTTATATTTGTTCTTGGGGCTACTGAAAGGCTCACGAGAATGGTTTCACTTAAGCTGCTTTCAAGGAATGAAACTCCCGCATCAAGTCAAAACACACATAAAAATTCTCATCATTCATACATTAACCAATTTCCAATTCAAAAACACCAAGAAGAAAAATCTGGAAACCATCTAACCAATGAAATGAGGAAGCAAAAATGAGGCAAGAAAGACAAGCATAGGGAAGATACTAACAGTTAGGTGCATTAAGAAAAGGAACGAAAATTAGCATGCAACCAAGAATGACCTATGCATCTAGAGTTCACCCAAAAAATTCAACAAAGCATGAAGGCAAATTAAACACAAAGACCAGCAGAGAGTAGAAAAGGAAGGGAAGGGACTTGATACCTTTCGTATTGAAGAAACAAACAAAACCTAGAGAATGGAACAATATGCATACAGGGATAGAGAAAATGGCCACTGTTTCCACCCTATTTTAGAAGAGGAAATGACATCACAATGGCTGCATTTACTGTGTAAAACTTTAGAAGCCTCAAAACTTTCTTCATGTATAAACTAATTTCTGAGTTATCTGTAAGCACTGAGGAATCACTGAGAACAATCACTTTGCAACTATGGGATTACAGCATACCGTTAACTAATAATAGTGAGGATGAGGTTTAATCATACATGCTACTTGTAGATAAGAACAAAATATTACCACACTAAGCAATAAAAGTAATTAAGGATAGTTCCGTGTAGGTGAACGAACTTAAACAAGAGTTCTTCTGGATTTGGAAGTGAAAAAGTTTCTCCCTTTTAAGATCCTAATGCTTGGATATGCTTGAGTTTCACTAATGTATATAAGTACGTCTCTAGTGCATGAACAAACTTTAACGGATACACATTTTTTTTCAGAGAAAAGGAAAGGTTGCATTCATCTTGCAATCATTATTAAACAGATACTTCAGAACTCGACTTGACAGATAAATGGGGACGAAAAATGGTAAAGATTACACAATTCATCAAGGGAAGAACACAAACTCCTGGAAACTCCTAGAGAGCACATATCCAGAAACCCCTCTCTTGACTATACACATTCAGTCTACTTGTTACATTCTTTTTTGGAAGACCCTACTTGTTACATTCTGGACAATAACATAGCTCAAAAGTCTGTGCATCGTCTCTTCTCCTCCAAGATAAACATTTATAATGAAAATGCAGTTTAAAGTTTTGATCTTGGTCCTTTCTTCCCGGGAATGTGCAATGCATCGTAATGACCAAATCCGTGATACAGAACCTTAATAGGATTGTCCTTGCCATATTCTTGCCCGTATTCAGCAATAGAAATCAGGCCACGTGCGTCCTGGTCATACATGTAAACAGTAATTGGCATCTGGAGAACATGAGAAGCCATCAAAAGTTCTGGTTCACCTCCCCACACATGAGAATTCCTTATTTGGGCAACATATGTGATAAAATCACCTTCGATGAACCATTCGGTCTCTTCTCTCCTCTTTATAAATTCATCTGCCACTCTGGCCCGCAATTCATCTGCTAATTGCCTCTGTAGGTTCTCATTCGGAGGGGGCTTCCCTGACCTTACACAAGCACCATGAGCAACAGAACGAAATAAACATCTTCCATCTCCAGGTATACCAATTACAGAATAGTCAGTATAGACCTTCTTTCCATGTGAATAGCCAGTGGTTGAGGATTCACAGCTATCTCCCATACTTCCTCCTGATGCTTCAGCAAGTACTGGTTCAGAGGCAGAGCAGCAGACTAAAAATCCAATAAATAAACCTGCAGATGTATGATTTCGCTGTCCAGAATTACACCCAAATTTGTGAAACTTCGATTGAGTAGGTAAGAAAAGCCTCATATTCACATTTTGGGACCAAAAAGAAATATCACAGCACACATTCCTGCGACTCGCAGCAGTTGTAAGCGTTAACGAGCGGCAGCTATTCTTCAGGTTGGAGTTAGTATACCCAACACATCTCTTTTGGGATCCCTCAAAGTTGATTGATGATGAGATACAATTTGACCTGGGTGCAGAAATAATAAATTTTGCAGGGTTGGTTGAAATATAAAAACGTAATGAGCTGGCTGGTGATTGCAAAACAATATTACAGAAGCGGCTTGTCATTTATCTTCTTACAGAAGCAAAAACAAATCTATGTATCTCCCTCTTTTTTAGTGTGAGAAGGTTCTAGGTGAGGCCAGAATTCAAGGCTCTGGCTTTATCCAACTAACCAGCCCGGTCTTGAGCTTGTTAGGGCCATAGGTTTTGGATACACCGACAACAGTTATACATACACAAGTGCAATAATCCTGGTCCAAAGACAAACTTAAACCTCTATGAACCCAGAAAAATTGCTCAAACGGGAAACAAATCAATTAACAGACAAGTTACTAGAACCAAATGAAATCCCTAATTTGTAGATGAAAACTAAGACAGTAGCTTGTGCTTCTAGGCGAAAAAACCCAGATGAGAAAAGGCTAACCTTTAGAGAAGGGAAAGTTTACCGTCTACGAATCTGATACAAAGCCGCTGTGTTTTCCTCAAATACCAACACTCTATTGGGAGGGCTCGTATCTTATTTTATCCAACACAAAGTAACCTATTGTTTATTTTTATTGGTAGGTAGTATATCGTTAAATTTAGTGTGATTGCGTGCGTTATTATAATAACTTTATATCCTTTTTTAAATAATGTTTTAGAAAATTGTTGATATGTAACAAGTAACAACCGTCCAAATAAGCCGAGTATTGGTAAAAAGGTTGTTTCTAATAACCTCAATTCAATGACACTGAGGAAGCCTGACTTACCGTATGTGCAAAAGCAAACAGTAATGAAAATGTCATTTGCATGAAGGAGAATGCATCTCTTTACTGATTTGTTATTGAAAAATGTGCAAAAGCAAAGTAGAAGCATCTCAACAAATCATACAACAAAAATACAGTTTCATCCATAAGGGTTTATGCAGCTCTAAAACTTTTAAGTACAGAAAGAACTGCTGGAAAACTACTTAATTAAGGACCATCAAAGACAAGCGACCGAACATGCATTAATCGCCATGTTAAATTACAAAAATCCCACTTCATCCATTTCATCATCATCCTCTTCGTCGTCCCCCCATCCCATGAGTTCGAAACCTGGATGGTGGTTCTGTAAAAAGAACTCCACAATGCCAGCATCAACCACAAGGTCATCTGATAGTGTTGGAGGAACATTTGAGTCTTGATGACTTCCATTAGTCAAGCTTTGCAACATGCATCCAAAAACATCTCGATTGTACTTCAACACAAATTCTTGAGACGGCTCTAGGACCTCTATGTCGAATGCAGGGCCCAGAGGTCGCCCTACAACTCTCACATGACTAACACTGCACATAAGAATGAAATATCGTCAAAATCACATATATGAGTATAGCCAACCAGCCTTCTTATAAAACATCTACAATACAGTTTTTTCAGTCAGTAATGCAATGCAAGTCCAGTACAACAACTTGCTGATAGATAGAGCAGAAAATAGTAAGTAGACCTTTCGATCAAAGAGAGAAAAGATGAACACAAACCATATGTAAAACAAGTCGTCCATTTCTTGTCTCTGAACTCTGCCCAAAAGTTGAATCTGCAGATATCCACCAACGCAAAGCACAGGTTCTGGCAGGTTGAACCGCTGAAAGCATTTTTCCTGGCCATTAAAGTTTGATCTGTCAATTCTCCTCCGAATGCAAATTAGTCTATACACCCCTTTCAAGGACTTCAAGAACAAATTTGACTAGTTTTACTTTCAACAACTCTTTATCAGAACAAAGCCTATGACTACTCTCACCATCAGGAAACTTTTCCACCAAAAACATAGAAAACTGAGTAAATAAGATTAGCTTTTATAGGAAGAAAACTAAAGAAGTTAAAAAAACAAAACCTGTGTCATAGGGAATTCTTCAGAAGTATATGTCCATATAAACTTGTCATCAGCAGGCTGTTGCTGGGGCATTTTCAGGAGATCACTCTCATCCTTCGAGGATTTGGGGTGCCCTAATCGAAATCGAACAGATTTTGCAGAATATATGGGCTTGCCAGGCTGGAAATAAGCTGAATTGGAAAAATTATGTATTAGTCAAGAGGACCAAATAAAGCTTCAGAAGCCTGTGAAACTCAAAACCTATGTTGCTCGGACTCTTTCAAACTGTCGACGGGTGCGTGTCGGATCCTCCAAATATAGTGTATTTTTGAAGGATCCGACACGGGTGCGGCATCATTTTTGGAGAGTCCGAGCAACTTAGCTCAAAACTGTAAATTTGAGGGGCATCTAATCCCCCAGGATGATAATAAAAGAGACTGAAAGGAAGCTTAATCACCTTCAAAAGGTTGCATAAAAACTTCGGTGATCACACATAGATCAGCTTTCAATTTGTAAATTAGTGTCTCGGGGGCATTCGGATCACTGTGTCCTTTACTTGACCAGTAGGAAGGTCTATTCAGATATTTGTCCATCGGGATTAAGGTATTGACAATACTTTCATCTGGATAATTGTCCGTGCTGGAAGCACTGACTGCATAGCCTATGCAATCGTTTCGACATGACTTTGATGATTCAATAGCTTGAAGTAGAGAAGAATAAACTTCATGGTCTCTTTTTAGAGTCTCCCAGTTGGAATTGCTAGACCCAGCGTCTTTTGCTTCTGATGCACTCAAATCTAGTTCTGTTATCCGGGCAATCCTAGAAAGCTGCTGAAACCTTCCCACACTGTTTGTTCTTCCAAATGGTAACAAACTTTCAAGGATAAAAACTGGCATGCCAAGATTTCTCGAAGAAAGGCTTAATGTAGCCAATTTCTTCTGAAAGTGATTGTAAAGTTCCTAGAAATTGATGCTACATCGTCAAGCCAAAAAGGCAGCTAAGTCAGATAACGGCAGTACTGAGTAAAGTGCCAACATCAAAATAACTTAATTGCATTGCACACCACTCAGAAGAAAAATATAATTTTCAAAATAGTAGCTTATCAAAAGAGTAGAAGAAATACAAACAAGTAGTTAACTACTTTACAACATGCAACTGGGCAAGCTCCACTCAACTAGATAGCTCAGGTACTATATTCGAGGATAAGCAAACAAGGCCAAGTATGGTATCACATCACAAGATGATACTTCTAGATAGTCATCACTATATCAAATATTAACTATACAAGCGATGACATTTGTGTTCAAAGCCAAATTAATGTTGTTCTTTTAAAAAAAAACAATGTTACTTTTTAGTGTTTCAGGACGAACAATAGTCCCATGCATGCCCAAAAGCTGAACCTACCCTTTCAGTTGTTGAAAAATGCATTCTGTCCCCAAAGGTTTCTTTTTAAGAAATTGTGGAATGTCTATTTCCTTCATCCAATGAAATTATTTAAAGATATATTTCAGAGGGCCAAAGATGTAGTCGGATTGAATTTAGTTTCACCATATGAAAGTTCCCAAATGTTTAAGAGCTTTGGTGAAAGTTCTCCAATTATTCACAAAACAACCACAGAACAAATTCTCCTATAACTAAATCCAAGCAGTCGGTACGTTTTGCCCCAAAAAAAAAACGAATCCTAACCACATTTGAAACTGAATTTCACTTGACGGTGAGAGTTGATCACTAATCATCCTACAAATATGCATGCATTCAACTACTCAAGGACTGAGACAACTAACATCCATTAATTCATCAAATTCACTGAGATAATAACGATGTGTTCTCTATACTTCGGCACAAGTAACTTAGCAAATTATCCGACAAGCTCCTTCATTTGACCTCTCCTTGCATTTCTTAGAATTATGCTAAACTATTTAAGAAATTCTTTTAGTCAACTTCCTTCTACTTATTTAGTTCTTAACTTTTTCCATATGGCAGGAAAAATAATGAATGATGTGTTCTCTATGCATCCGGATGCAAATAATTCAGCGAATCATCCAACAGTTTGCCTCACTGGACTTCTCATGCATGTCCTGCAATCACGAAACGCCAGGTAGAAACAAAAAATAGCAATAATTAGGGCAAAGTTTAATCTTAATTGTTGAAACTCAATAAATCGGACAGTGTTTCTCATCGCAGACATCACTTCATTGTGTGATTGGTATTGAACACTTCCATGAAATCAACCAAATCTGATTATGATTCAGTTTGCACACACTCAAAAGGATCCATCTCTCCTTTCATCTTTCCAAGACTTCACTTATTTTGTACTCATTCCGGATATTTATCAAGGCATATTCAAATTGAGGATAGAGACTCATTGCTTAATAATTCTAGATGCCAATAAAGTAGTTATGAGTCTTTATGCACACTAATCACATGATGTAACGGGATAAAGTATACCAAGTATATGAAACAAGAGTAGAAGAGTCTTGTAATGGAAACAAAGGAAAACTCTGCGGTTTATGAAATTTTAACAACACGAGAAATGATAACCAGTATAACCCCACAAAATGGGGTCTGGGAGTTAAGAGAATATGCAGACCTTACCTCTACCTCAAGGGTAGAGAGGTTGTTTCCGATATATCCTCGGCTCAAGAAACATCCAAAGCAGTCCAGAAAAAAAGTAGCAGCCGTACAGGAAATAGCAGATAGTAACAAAAACAGCAGGTAGTACCAGGACAGTAACTACAAAAAATAATATGATAGTTGAAGTACAAGCAACAACAAAAATTGAAGGACAAGAAACTACCGGGGCAACACTACAACTACTGTTATTAAGGAAGACAGAAACCCTGATTAGCCTACCAAATTGGCGCCAACGGCGTGAAACAGAGCCAGCACGGACCACATCAGCTGGATCATTCAAACGCATCATAATGTCCAGAGACACGTCAGTGTCCAGCCATTGCATGAAATCAAAACGTGTCTCCATGGCACAACCAAAAGTGTAATCCCCTAGATAATTTCAAAGTCCCAGAACCTGAAATCGTCAACAAACACAAACAAAATGATGCAATAAGCAAAAAAATCTTTAAAAAGAGAGGGAAGTAAACAACAAGGTTATCAGCACTAAGATAGGGAATTCAGAGTAAAAATAGCAAACATATCCCCAAATAAGATAAATATATGAACTTAGATACCAACTTATACTTGTTCTTTGGGTTTCAAAATGGATCATGTAAAATGTCTTCTCTTAAGAAACTTGCAGAGAATGAAAGTTTTACATTAAGTCCATCAATTAACTACACCTCAAAACCAAATTACTCAAAGTCGTCTATTTGAATCTTCTATATCCAGCCCCCTCTGTTTCAGGTCCTCTCGTTAAGTCAATTCTCACATAAAAATCTCATCTTTCACAAAATTCACATTTTTTTTTTCCAATTGACAAAAAACAAAAAGATAAAGATATAAGAGAAGGCCACATACCAATTCAAATGAGAGGTAAAGTAGAAAAGAGGCAAGAACAATAAACATAGATAGATTTAACAATCTGGGGCGCAAAAAAAAAGTAGCATACAACTCGAGAACAATCTAAAATTCTGGGATTAACCTAATAAATTCAAGAATGCATTGAACAAAAATGTAAACCAACAGAAAGAGTGGAGAAAGAAGAAACTTTGTACCTTGTGAATTGAAGAAAGAGAAGAAAACCCTAGAAAGAAGAGCAGAAATAAATGCATAAAGAAATCTAGAAATGGAAACTATTGAGGACAGATAAAATCATTACAATGACCCAATAGATTTATCTGAAGCTTCCAAATTTAATTGGTGGATGAAATTACTTCTACAGTTTTGTTCAAACAGGGAAGAACACGCTAGAATTTGGTCTGCATTTTTTTAAATTAATAAATTTTATCGATTTGGTTGCTGGGCCGCTTATAATGTAGATCTATTTGTGCAGAACATGATGAGATGATAGAAAAAGTACAACTCTTTGCCGCATACAAAATACTTAGGCAAATATTTTAGAAAAATATTATCTTTAATTAAATAAATTTTGTAGGAATAAGTTATTTATATTTTATTTATTTTCTAATATAATTCATTATGCTTGTTATTAGGGGGTTGCATAGTTTGGGTCAAACAAAAAGCAAAAAATTACTAACTTTTTTGGATATTTGGTTTAGATTTTTGAATTGTGAATTGAATTTTATTTTAAAATTTATGAATTTCGAATTGAATATTAAATTTAGTATTTCGGATACCTTCAAAAATTTGAGAATTTATGTTTAATAAAATAATCAGTCATATTCAAATCGTATGTATTCAATGCTAGATCCAACACATAATTAATGTGGAAGACAAGGTAACCTTAATTCTTGTTAACTATAGAAAGTTATGCATTTCAAGGAACAAATGATTAGATTGAAAGTATTGAGGTTGTTACTAATTGTTATGATCTGTTTTAAAAGATCAAAAATTAAAAATCAATTCAAAACTATCCAAATTATTATTCCAAAATTGATTTGTCTCGCTTGATATAAGTTTTATGGGAATAAAATTATGTAGTACAACATAATACTACATAATTTGTCATGCCTCAAAAATATAAACTTATGTCATCCGATTTTTTTAAATTATTTTGATGTCATAAATTAAAATATTAAAAAATAATAATTAAAAACTATATATTTAATCCGTAAAAATTAAATACCACATCAAAATATAGATATTTGCGCGAATGACCAGAGAAATAACAGAACACCTGCCTCATAAGTCACCTTTACATAATTTGTTGAAATATGTTGCTATCTTAACGGACATTTAAAAATAGGTATGTAAAATTTTAATAATTTTTTGAAAAATTAAGAAGTAATTTAGATGTAACTTCTTATATATGTACTCTAGTATATCATGCAAATAATAAGAATGTACTTAGATTTTGAAATTGCATCACTTGGACCTTTATTTTTTAGAATTTTGCTGATAAAAATTCGAACTTTAGTGCACTATACTAGAATTTTACATGCAAGAATTCTCAAGTTTGGAACACAATTATGAAATTAAAGTTCGGGAAATTTCCTCCTTTAAAAATTTTTCAATTATGTATTTTAATTTTTTTTTGTTTTTGACGAGAAATATTAGTGTTAAGTAGTTTAAAATAATTTCTAATTTGTATTTTAAATGCAACTTATATAATTGAATATACCTAAAAGTTTATGATCTTTTCAGAAAGAATCAAACCTACAAGTTTGTCTTTGGTATACTTCAGTAGCTTTGAAAATCTTTAGCCACAAATAACGAACTTTATTAAGCAGTGTAATAAAAAATAATATAAGATTAATTAATGAACACGTTGAGTTTTTTTGGTATTCGAAATCTACTTACCAATTAATTCGTGTAGAGATTGAGAAGGACCTGAAAATTAATCCACATTTTTGCTGCGATTGCGAAAATCCTAATTTATTTATTTTTTCTATTTTCAAAACTCGAACCAAAATTATGTTTATTTTTCTGTCTTGCATCCGATTTATGTAAGGTTTAGAATGTGTAGGCTGATAATTTGTAATTGGTAGGAAATTTCCTTCGACAACAACATGACTTTCATAATCTTGCATCCCAAATGACCCTGTCTATTCCCTTGAGTCTTGACAACAACACAAGTCTAAAAATTTGACAATTTAATTTTGAATAATGATTGATTTGATGTGAATTGTGATCGTATTGTTGTATTATTTTTTTATAGTGTTAAAAATATTTCTCTATTTAACTAACTAAATATAGATATATTTCGATCTGCTATATGACATAGCAAGTAGTCTCGTAGGAGAATGAGATTGTTAATAAAAAGCTCTCAATCAGCCACATAAATAACATAACAAGTGGTCTCAAACTGAACATAGGGTTCTAAATAAAAAATCTAGAGTGAACTTAGCGAGAATTTAGTGGTGTATTCCACTCATATTACAAGATCGGTTAAATTTAATTAATCAAATAAATGAGTGTTTTTAATATTGTCCATAGTTCATGGATAAAAGTAATAATTCACACATAGTTTAAGAGGTTTTCAATACTTCTATCATTATTTAATTATTATTTTTTTATCTTACCTTTTATATAATAGTTTTATGCCTCCTCTACAACTCTACTTTTTTTTTGTTGATTTAATCCTTTAAATTATTATGATACGTGACATTATATATGTTGGGATATATACTATTAACCATATGCTAAGATATAATATTTATTATAGAATAAATATTTATTCAGTTTTAATAGATCATATATTCGTTTATGGTGTTTGTTTACTTATATAGTAGATGACTCAGTATGTAGAGTTTTAGCTTATGCACAGAGGATTAAATCATCGATTCTTATAAGTATAAAGTTTTTGTTCACAATCTAGGATGGAAATTGGACATGCCATCGGGTACGATTGTAGCACAAGATTATATATAATTCTTATATAGTAGATGATTTAGTGTGTAGAGTTTTAGCTTATACACAGAGGATTAAATCATCGGTTCTTATAAGTATAAAGTTTTTTGTTCACAATCTAGGATGGAAATTGGACATGCCATCGGTACGATTGTAGAATAAGATTATATGTAATTTATCTTGATTGTGGGAACGGTATAGTTCCAACTTTTTGTGCTAGTGCATTTTGTATGTATTGAACGGGACCGAGTAGAGATAGTTACGTTGTTTTAGACTGACTGACAAAACATATTCTCTAAACTATTAAATGTACTTATATTCTTTATCCTGATATAACTATTATGATCTGTATATATTAACTATCGTTTTGATTTATTAAAAGGTGAGATTCTGAGATGGGTCAATATGCCTGTAGGTTGGATGATAATAATATATATTGGTGAAATAATAAGTTAGTTGATGGAATCCATGTCTCTTATAGGGATTGATTGATATGCCTTTTGAGAAACTTATAAGTTTTCATCGTGTCAAACCTTGCAAGTGGATTTATGAATCCGACACATGAAATAAGTTAAGTAGTGCTCTAAAGGAAATTAATCATTAAGTTAAATTCGTCAGTAATTTAATTTATTGATTAGTATTTGAAATCTTAACATGGGGAATTACATAAGTGTTTAATGGGGAATTACGAAATATAAATAGAGGAGTGCAATTACGAATTTCTAGTGGAATTATTTGTAATTTATTATGGTAAGAATAATTCAAATTAATTATTTGGAATTATTTCCATAATAGGAAGCCTCAGTAATTAATTTTGTGGTCCCTACCGTGCCTATATTTAACTAGAACTCAAAATCCTATTTCTAAAGGGAAAAGGGGAGACAGGCGTTAGTTTTTTTATAAGAAAACTAACGTGTATTTTTCGGTTAAAAAACAAAAAGAAAAATAGACTGTGTTTTGTTCTCCTCTTTGGATTGGGAAGAAATCTCTATAAATAGAGATTCTCCTAACCTAGAAAAAGATTGATTAGTTTTCTATTCATACTTACCCACCCAAGTATTGAGAGAGTTCGGATGTGAACTTGGGATCAGTGTAGAAGACCATAGTTGTTGGCTGTCTTGTGGATTCGCTTGAAGATTTGTCTAAACTTGGGGATTCGCTTGAAGGTATCTGCTCACACTTCAAGAGGTATTTATCGAATTAAATTCCAGCAAATTTATGTGTTCTAGCATAAACGGTATTGGTTGTCTATTATTCATGTAAGCAGTTTGATCCTGATATGCTTCCGTTGTGCATATAGTTTTCCAACAATTGGTATCAGAGCCACGCTTGCATCTAAATAGATAATCTAATTTAGTTATACATATGATCAATTATGCATATGACTCGGTTTTTATTCGTTTATAACGTATAAGAAGAAAACAAGTTTAATATGATTCGTGTCCTCTATTGGGGTGGTAATTCTGTTTGCCGCCGAGGGAGGTCTTGATTTGTGTTTTGATAACTTGAATTTGTTTGAATTGTGCCTGTAAACACAGTGACCTTGAATAGTTTATTATATTTCTTGTGGGGATTAATTAAAGGTCATCTTTTTTCTTTTGGCTAATTGAGTGATTTTGATCTTAAAGGAATTAATTAAAAAGGTGTCTTTTGAAAAATCGATAGCACCTTTAGGTTCTGCAAAATTGCTAACTCCTTGGTCTATTTCTTTTAATTTCAAAAGGAAGTTTAGTGGGCCACTTGGCTTGCTTGCATAAAGAAAAGGAGATTAATTAAAAAACATGCAAATTTTTTTCAAGTGGGTTGGTGATTGGCTGTGATTTGTGACAATTGAATGGGAATTTTGTTGCCTAGTTATTACGGGCCGATTATTTATTCTCTTAGGCTACAAAATTGACTTTATTGTCATTTGTTTTAAGAGCGACAAATCTAATGCAATAATCGTTCCTTCATGATTTAATTATATGGGCATTATTATTTCGTTACTCACGTTATATAATATTGTATAATTAAGAATTTATGATTAGTAACTATTAACTGTTAAAGTGGTTTATTTATTTGAATTCATTGAAAAGTCTTAAAGTATTATATATACAAAATTATGTCAATACATGAATTGAGAATTATGATTAATAAATAGGATTTACAAAAGTGATCTATTTATTTGAGTCATTATAATATCCTCAATGTTTCATGTATAAATTGTCCTAAGTGAATACTAGTGGTAAACTTGAATGGAGATTTACCTTAGATACTAGTGAAAACTAATTCATGAGAAGAGATATTAAAGGTTTTCACCGGTCTAAAAAGGGAGAAATATAATATCTTGGATTCTCAAAGTGTATTAATCGAAAGGACAATTTGCGATAAAAAGGCGTTGTGTGTTTTAGTCAAAGGAAGGACACAATGTATGTCTTGTGCTCATGAGATAATTATTAAAAGAGAATGAAAAATTGAATCATGTTATTTTAATCT